ACACACACCAGTCGACTCGCATCGGTTGCCTCCATGAACGGCGGAGCTATTCTCGAGCCCACACCACACCTGGCTTCAACGTGGACACGCCCATAGCTGGGGACACTATTAGGTCACGCATGGCATCACAGAAGTTTTATCTGTCTCTCTCTCTCTATGTGTCTCTCCCACCCACGGCACCGGACGACACACGCCACAGCCAATCAATAAGAACGTGCGAGTACGTTCTTGTTTTGGGCAAAACAAGAACGTGATCGCATCACTCGCTAAGGACGTGAAAACAAGGCCTTACCCAGGGAAAGTACGTACGTATGTCTGAAATTTTTCTTCGCGCGCTTACGCGCGCGACTAGTTCACGCCCTACGGGCGTGTGGCCTGCGGCCACTAAGGTTGCCAAGCTCTGGAAAAAATCTCCCATGTCGCAAAGAGAAAAATGAAAACGGCTAGCACCCACCGCCCCTGCCACCCTCGGCGTGTGCCTCGGCCGCCCCTGTCAGTGTGCCTGTGGTAGACAGGACAACAAGTGGGTGGCGAAGGCGTTAGTTTGGGAGGGGAACGTGCCGCATTTCCGATTTCCGACCTCGTGAAAGAATTTCAAACTCGAGGCGGCGCTCCCTCTCTGCCGCCTGCACCGCCTGCACCGCCTCACGCTGCGCCGCAGCGGAGTGCGAGCGACCCCGCTGCTCGACGAGCTCACCCTGATCACCACCAGTCGTAGCGACGCCACCAGTGAGTGCGTGCAGCAGCCCGCGCGCCGCGATCACCCTCGGCAGCCCGCTGCCCCACCTGGCCACTGGCGACGCTGACGGCGGCGGCACTCGTGGCGGTGACACTCGTGGTCGCAGGCGGCGCCTGGGCAGCAGAGAGAGCTGTCGCTGCAGTGCTGGCGGCAGCTGGCGGCGGCGGCTGGGGGCGGCGGCTGGCGGTGACATTGCTGGCGGCAGCCATGCCGCCACAGCAGCCCGCCGCGCCGGCAGACTGTTGGATGGCCACAGTCGCGAACGTGGGTGAAGTCCCGCCGCGCCGGCAGACTGTTGGATGGCCACAGTCGCGAACGTGGGTGAAGTCGTGCGGCGCAGAGACCAGCTCATTCGCCGTCGCCGGTCCCTTGATCACGGGCGCCGTCGCCGGTTGACCCGCGTCCATGGGCGGATTCAGCAGGCCTGCAGCCCTCCAGCCGTACACACCCCGCTCTAACCCTCTCGGGCTCGCGGCGGGCACTCTGGGAAGATCCGCGCCAATCTTTTTTTGCTACCCCTCCCGGAGGCCCTTGCGACCCCTCTCGAGCCCTCCCGCCACGAAGATCCTCCCTTTGTCCGACCGTCCCTCCGAGCCCACCCGGCGCCCGAGCCCTCTTGCCTATCACCCGAGCTCGGGGGGGCGGCGAGCCCTCCTGGACCCCACCCACAACCCCTCCCGCCTCGCCCAGCCCTCCTGATCCCTCTCCCTCCCGGAGTCCCGGTGGACCGCTCCACCCTCCCAGCGCGCTAGCCCTATGGGACCCTGTGGAGCCCTCCCGACGCCGATCAGACGCACGGGGACCCCTCCAGCCCTGTGGGCTGGCGAGCCCTCCGGGGTCGGAGGGGTGGAAGTGGGAGGGCTCGACACGAGGACGGACCCCTCTCGCTCCAGGAGCATACATCGAGATCTCTACGCGACACCAGTAGATTTGTTGAGTGGAGATCGTAGATGCCGATCAGAGATCTTCCACACACAGCATCTCTCACAAAACTCAGAGATCTTTAAGGTTCTTCGGGCCAGTTGGGGGGGGCAAACCCTGCCCGGCCCCTAGGACCCCAGGTAAGGCCCAGGTGTGGCCTAGGGCATCAGAAGGGACCAAGAGGAGTCCAGTCTGAGCCATAGAGCCCATGTCTTTGCCCCCGAAGGTCGCGTTCAAATGCCCGGAACGGACGTCACAGTGGTGTCCGGCCGGCGCGATCACCGAGCTGTGACGCTCAGGGAAGACTGATGAGGTGCTGGTTTCTTTGCCCAGGCCTGGCCTACGACCCATGCTGGATCAGCTGAGCAAGGTTTGGGGAGAATCCTATATTAGGGTCTTCAGATTTTTTGACGGATGACCGAAAATGGGCAAAAACGGGGTGATTTCGGTCATCCATTCAGATCTTCAGATTTTTTTTCACCCCCCCCCCCCCCTGGAGAGTGTGAACTCAAACCTACTTCCTGACCGTAGCCTGACCGTCCTTGTGTAACCGTGTCTCATGTTTGGTTTGTCCTGCCGCGCACATTGTCATGCACTTGGAGCACTTGGCATGCTGTTGGGTTTCTCCTGCCGCGCACATTGTCATCGACTTGTATCCGACTTGGTGGTTGTGGTGATGTAGCGATGGTGTGGGTCTCTAGTGACCTATACAGCTCCTCCGTGTTCCGTCTCCTAACATGGTACCGACCGGTGAGTGCACGGAGTGAGCAGTGCGGCACTGAGGCCGACATGAGAGCTGGTGCGGCACACAAGCGAGATGTGTTGCCGCACAGCATTTCCGGCTTACGCTCGATACGTTGGCTGGCACCATGGGCAATGCGAGCCGTGGTGATTGGCTGGGCACAGAGGCTCGGCGCACGGTGGCACAGCGGCCGCCAACTGCTTGGCTCGGAGGCTGAGCAGAATGAGTACAACCGCAACATCAACTTGGGTGCTTGCGGATCTTCTGCGACAGAGCGCATCTCCGCCAGCACTGCGGCTGTGTGGACACGAGTATCCCCTCTTGCTTCTCCTTACCGGTCCGTTCTCCTCGCCTACGGACCACCATCGCAGCTGCTGCCTCCGCTACCAGCTCTCGGGCTGCTGCAACGGCAGTTACCGCAAAGATCTCGCACCGAATGTGGACCCTGCCTTTCGCCGCCGCTACTTCCGACGTCGCCGCTCGACACGACCGGAGCTGTACGCGATGAACACGCGACGATCGACACGCCCTCTCTGCCTTGTGTGGCGATTACCACGTCGTGGGGGAGTGTTGGGCATCTGTTCGACGTGGCAATGCCACTCTACCTCATTGCTGTCTCTTCCTCGTCTCGCCTCCTCGCGCTAGCCCGTCCCGCTATCCAACGCCTCTGGCAAGAAGTCCAATGCGCCTCTACGAGCGCCTCTGCCGTCTGGACGTCTGAGACTGAGCCTGCCATCTCCGACGTCGGCGGCCCGTGGCGCAACATCAACGTTCGGGGCATTGAAGATCGTCCTCACGTCCCTGATGCGCTCATCCGCGTCAACGCGGCGAGGCCTCCCAACGGCCCAATCGCCGCGCCGCAAGGGGGCGCCCCCGCTGCCGCTCCCGCGCCCGCCGCGCCTGCCGCGCCCGCTCAAGCCGCCGCCCCGCGACGCTCAGCCCGGATTGCAGCTCGCGGCGCGCCATGACCGAGCTCCACAACGAGCTCCTGTTCATTATCTCCCCTTTCTCTCTCTCCGCCCACTCGGCCGCGCTTTGACCCCTTCACTGGATCATCTTAGCGCGCAAGTCTTGCCAACAAGCAAGACCATCCTTCGCGAAGACGCAAGGTTGGACGCTTAGCCAGCCCCGCGAGACGCCGGCGGGTAACCGGCATACACACCTACGCTCAGACACATTCACACTCTGCTGTTGTTGTCTGCCGCATCCTCATTCATGAAGACTGCGGAGACAATGGGGGAGTGTTGGAGAGTGTGAACTCAAACCTACTTCCTGACCGTAGCCTGACCGTCCTTGTGTAACCGTGTCTCATGTTTGGTTTGTCCTGCCGCGCACACTGTCATGCTGTTGGGTTTCTCCTGCCGCGCACATTGTCATCGACTTGTATCCGACTTGGTGGTTGTGGTGATGTAGCGATGCTGTGGGTCTCTACTCGAGTAGTGACCTATACAGCTCCTCCGCCTGTAAATACTCGTCCGCAACCTGCACACGCAGCCAATCGGGCTCGTCGTCAATCAAGCGAGCTCAATGCTGCTTTCACCAGCCGTGGCATTCGCCGCGGCGCTGCTGTACTTGGCCGTGTGCCTCACATGCACGACCATCAAAGCCTCGTACGCACACGACGCAGCGGCAGCGCCTCTCGAACCGATCTTTATCGTGGGCAGCTACGCTATCATAGCATGGCTTGTGACGGCGCGCGCAGCCCGTACGGCACCAACTTGTGGTGCAGCGGTTGCCGCGTCCTTCTCTGCCTTCGCTTTTTCTGCGATAACGCTGCAAGTCGCGGATTTCTTCTTCTTCCTGCACATGGGCGAGGACCTCCGCTACTCGACGCTCGTGATGGCGCTCGGTGTAAACCGCGTGCACATGCTCAAGACCGTGCGCAGCAAAGTCAGCCGCTTCGACCTCATCGTTGCGGGCGTATGCACCATCACAATCGCCCTCTTCACCGCGGGCGGCCTCTGCCTCCGCTGGCTCTGCAGCGGCAGCGGCAGCAGCATCAGCAGCGGCAGCAGCAGCCGTCGCAGCAGCAGCGGCAGCGGCAGCGGCGTCAGCAGCAGCAGTAGCAGCCGTCGCAGCAGTATCATCAGCGGCCACGCAGCATCCGGCCACTCTCGCCAGCGCGTCCTTCTCCTCGCCGCGCTTGTGGCTGCGCTCGGC